ATCGACGACAAAGGACCTCCGCACAGCAGATCCGAGAAATGCGTTGATGGGTCTCTTGTACGATTACGAGTTAGTTTACCTTACCCACGCTCTCCAAAGAGAGTGAGAAACACGATCTATTCCGCAACTTGTCATATACGGCCCAATGAGCTGTGCTTCCCAACAGAGACTGCCACAATGCCTCTCTCTCAAATTGTCATATTCATATCAGTAATGCTATTCATATACGTGTTTTTTACAAAATTGATATACTGAAAATTTCCTTTTTTAGTATAACATGTCTGTATATACCGTGGTAGACCTTATCTTTTTATTTTAATTAATAATAATCATTGATTATTGATGATACCTCAAACAAGTCCTACCTATGAGCTCAGATCAAGAGGTCAGGAAAGACACGCGGAACTCAGAGAACCAGGGGTAGAGCTCCCCTTGGTGAGATCGTGACAGAACTAATCAGGAAACCGCTGGATGACTGCAGAAATTGAGTTCAATGCATGAAACTCTCAACCAACCGAGATTTTCTCCTAAAATCAAGGAGGATCCCATAAATAATTGGCGAAGATGTCGACTGAAATCCCATATAATAGGGAGCAACTTTATAAATACTATGTAACGCCTCATCGAGAAGGGCCCCTAGAAGAACCCTAATTAGATCATGCATTGTATTATGATACATTCAAATAGTTAATAGAGAAAAAAGGAGCAAGAACCTCTATTAGAGAGTGGATTAACCGAACTCTAGAGCCGGTGAACCACTATATTCCTACTGTGCAAATTTCCTTATCCTTTAAGAAACACTTCATCACTGCCATTATGAAGTTGGCAGCCGGAATTCATCGTTGGTCCCACACACTCTGGTCACCCACATTAGTCTGCACCATCAATTTGGCGCCGTCTGTGGGAACGACTGTTCCTGTTACAAATAAGATGATTTCTCAATGACTGATGGTATCAACACAAAACATGAGCAGAAACCAAACAAATCCACCTCGAATGCAGGATCAACAGGGAACCAACAATGGCAGACAGCTCGAGAATGTCCCAAAAATTGATCCTCCCATGGGGAATCCCCCCACAAATAATGAGATAGAGGCTCTTCACCTCGTCAATCAGCGCTTCATAAAGCAAAATGAGGAGCTCTTGAAGTTCTTACAACGCTCACAGGAGGCACGTCCGGCCCAAAAAGGTCAGAACAGTCCCCATCACGAGGATCAACAACACATTGATCCACTTAGAGAAGATAACGAAGGAGAGGAGAACAGCCAAACCTTGGGACAGGTTCCCCAACTACCCCCTAGAAACGACCATAATGAGGAAGTACAAAGTCAAAATCATGAACGTGAAAAGAATGATGTCTTCCCTTGTCAGCAGGAGAGAAGGGAACAATATTGGAAGCAACATTTCAAGGTCATCCAACAGGAGCTCAGCCACATGAAGGAAGCGGTCAGAAGTAAAGCTCCGGTTACAATGGACGCCTTGGTGCAGTAGACTGAATCTTTATTCACACCTGGGGTGTTACATTTTTCTCTCCCACCAAAGTTCAAAATGTCATAGATAGAGTCCTTTGATAGAACCAAGGACCCCATGGACCACCTTAATACTTATAAGAATCAGATGAAGTTGCATAGGTACCAGAACCCCGTATGCTGTCGAGCCTTTGCCATCACTTTGAAGGGTTCAGCCTTGGCGTGGTTTAACAGGCTCCCCCCGACCTCAATCTCTTCCTTCAAGGAACTTTCTATTTCCTTCGTATCCCACTTTATAGAGGCGCGGACCTATAGAAAGCCAAGCTATCACCTTTTGAATGTGAAACAGGGACCTCAAGAAAACCTCAGGTGTTATGTCCAAAGATTTAATTTGAAATCGTTAAAGGTGGATGTCCCTGACGAAAAGTTCACCATCACAGCCTTCATAGCTGGTCTAGAGATACAATCTAATTAGATCATGCATTGTATTGTGACACATTCAAATAGTCAATAGAGTAAAAAGGAGCAAGAGCCTCCGTTAGAGAGTGGATTAGCCGAACTCCAGAGCCGGTAAACTACTATATGCCTACTGTGCAAATTTCCCTATCCCCTAAGAAACACTTTATCACTGTCATTATGAAGTTGACAGCCTAAATTCACCGTTGGTCCCACGCACTCTGGTCACCCACATTAGTCTGCACCATCAATTATAAAAATAATAAAATATACAAAACACAAAATTAAGTTAGTCTTTAGTAACCTCATATTTTTGTTTTTATTTTACAATAAAAAATGTTTGGTGAATGTTTTCTGTTTTTTTTTAATTACTGTTCTTTGAAAATAAAGCTAAAATATTGAAACATCCAAAATGATATTTTTGAAAACATAAAAAAAAAAAACAAACAAACACGCAAGTCTGAAAGGGATTTAATGAGGTATTGGTTTCGATCCTCTTTAATAACAAGAGATGAATTTTTTTACTTGAGTATAAAAGTTCATCTCTCTCTGTCATCTATCTGAGTCGTCTCTCTCTCGATGCCAAAGACGAAGACGAAGCTGAAGCCATCGCCCCTCTCAATCGTCTTTCTCTCTTTCTCGATGTCAAAGATGAAGACGAAGACGAAGCCATCGCCCTTCTCAGTCGTCTTTCTCTCTTTCTCTATGCCATAGACGAAGACGAAGCCATCGCTGCGAAGGATCTAAAAACCATTACTCCATCTCCAATGTCATATTTCACTCCATCTTCATGGGGTGGTTTTCAATGGTGGGGGTAGGTGATCAGTGGCGTTGGGTGGTGGTTTTGGGTGATCAGTGAGGTTGGGGGTGGGTTTCAATGGTAGGGTTGGGTGGTGAATTTTTGGTATAATATCAAATAAAATTTATATTTTTATTTTCACAACTTTTTTAAATATAAATGACTATCAAACATGTTTTATATTTTTATTTTTTATCACAAAAAAACAAATTTTAAATTTTTTTTTTTATAAAAAAAACATAAAAAACCAAAACATTACTAAACACACCCTAAAAAGTTGGTAGACCAGCGACATTAAAATTCTCAATTATTAATGCCACTAGTGGGTATAGATTTCAATAGACAGTTTGAATCATAAATGGAGTAAATTATTAATTATTTTTTTATATATGAATCAAATGATCCGACTAAACATGATACATATTCTATTATAAACAATTTTAAAAAGATCAAATATTAAAATAAATTTTAATATAATAGGGTACAAATGAGTGAAAATTGTAATTGTAACTCTTTTTATCCTAACCAAATCATCAATATTTGAAGAAACTGGCGAAAACATTGATGAAAAAAAAATAAAAGAGAAGAAAAATAATTTCTGTGGTTTGGACAAAAGCAACCTTCAAACTTTGGGGATAAGAAAGAAAATTCAAGATTGCATTGACCATTTCAATTTTTTCTTGAAAGAGACCGGAGTTTTTTATTTCTTTTAGATTTAATGATTATGGTATTTAGATAAATTTACGTACATTTTAATTAATTTTTTTATTTAATTAAAAATAAATTATTCACACCAAACTAAAATATTAATATAAAATTTATTCCCCATGTTCGACCCAAATAATTATCAAATTTCAAACTCACTGTACCTGTTGTCACCGGTCATCGGAGCTTTTGAATGCACAAATTCGTGAAACCCACGCGTTGAGAGTGAGTGTGAACTGTGAAGAGACACAACTAGGCTCCTACTCTTTTTTTTTTTCTTTTTTAAAAAAAAAAAAAAAAACACTTAACCAGACTCCTTCTATACAGCTCATTTTAACTTGGCATTTTCTTCCCTTGAGCAATAAGATACACTGTACAAAAACAGGTCTCACTGCCTTGTCTTGTCACTCCCTCCCAAATTCTGACTCACTCTGACCACCCCAACACAAACAGCCCCCTCTCACCTCATTCTTTCCCCCTCTGTCCTCTCTTTCTTCCTGATCCCACCAGCTCCCTTGCTTCACTTCCTTCTAATACCAAATCATAAAGGAGTTGTTTAACCCAAACAAATAAGAAACCATCAAAGTTAAATTCTAATCCCACCGTCTAACAAGAACTGCAACCCCCCCCCCCCCCCCCCCC